CAGAGTATCCATGTTGCACAGCCCGTCTGATAAAACCTTTGCAGTCTGCTGTTATGCGCCTAAGTGCTCAGCAAGACTTTTTTTTTCCTGGGTAGCCCAGTTTCCTCTTAATTTTAATTATTGCAAAAGTACCAAGCATTGTTGATCTAAAAAAAGAACAACCCTGCCTTCTTTCAGACCTTAAGCAAATGTGAGGGGGACGGGGGGAGATCGAGAAGGCCACAGCAGAGAAGTTGTCCCAGATTTGCACTGATGCTCTCTTTGAAATTGCACGGCACATACACCTCTCCGCCGGCAGCCTCATGCAATAATACAGCAGGCTCGCTAATCATCTTGCTGCTGTTTTTTTTCCAAGCCTTGGAGCCATGGCCAGTGGCTCAGTGCTAATGAGAGGAATCTGGGTATGATCTTTGCATCCTCCACAGGTGTGTCTCTGAGACAGAGCGCAACAGGCACACAGGTGAAGGGAGCTGCACTCCCCCCCCCAGCCCAACACACAGCTTATCCTATGGCTTTACAAGGACAGGAGATGGGAGGGATATTTCTGAGCACAAGATTGAGAGAGAGAGAGACTTAAAAATGCTGCATGAAGGTCTTTAATGAACCATGAGAAGCCAATAACCACTGAAAGGCAGTGGGGCTTGAGAGCACCAAGAAGCTTGTCTAGCAGCGGGGAGACTAGTCTGCAGCCGCTCAGCTTTAGGGGCTGCCGCCTGCACTTTCAACAAGCCAGACTCCAAATGAGGCAGCTGTTCCAAGCAGGTATAAATAAAAGATGTGGTGTTCCTATGGGAACCTTTGGCATATTGGATTACCTATTCCCCAGCTAGAGTTTCCTTTCAGTTAAGTTTCTGTGCGAAAATCCTACACTTCAGGGTGTGCTTTTAAGAGACAGATTGTGGAGTTGTTTATTTCTGACTGTATATCTGTGGCCCTGATAATCTTTCTGCCCTTGGAAGTACCCATTTGGTTATGGGGCCCAGAGCTGCAAAGCTGACCATTCCCCAGGCCTCCTAAGCAAGCTGTGTAAAGTCAGGAAGGCAATATTTATCCCACACCGAAAGATGAAAATAAAAGCGAATTGCTGCCACAGGGAATCTGGAGTGCCTGCCACCTGGTTTTCACCTTTAATAAGGAGGGAAACGTCAAAAGTCAGCCATCTACATGGTTATACCTCTTTGTCCATCTATCTCAGTACAGTGGTACCTCAGGTTACATACACTTCAGGTTACATACGCTTCAGGTTACAGACTCCGCTAACCCAGAAATAGTGCTTACAGGTTAAGAACTTTGCTTCAGGATGAGAACAGAAATCGTGCTCCGGCGGCGCGGCAGCAGCAGGAGGCCCCATTAGCTAAAGTGGTGCTTCAGGTTAAGAACAGTTTCAGGTTAAGTACGGACCTCCGGAACGAATTAAGTACTTAACCCGAGGTACCACTGTACTGCCTACTCTGACTTGCTGCAGCTCTCCAGAATCTCTGGCAAATGCATTCCACATCACAGGTACCTAATCTTCCCAGAAGTGGGCTTCCTACATGTGGTTTCTTGGTCACACTACAGGAAGACAAAGTGACAGCATACAGGAAGCAGTACACCTATAAACACACATGTTCATATTCCTTAAATCTTCGTGATAACTGCCAGAATGTTTTCCTGGCAAGCCACTCATTTCAGGATTCCCATTGCATGTTTCCTGGGTTGGATCCAGACATTGCTTTCCAGGGCTAGAATGGACGCATCCACAGGAAGCTTCTGATCCAGTGGTGGGTGGAGATCTCGCCAATAGCGGAGGAAGTGATTTTTGCAGATTCCCCCTCAGCTCTCTGGAACAGTGTGAGAGGGGGCAGGGGAAGCATGACAAGTTGCTTCTACACTTCCGCTAGCAGGAAAGTCCTGAGTGGAGCTCTTAATACAGGATGCTCCCACCAGTGGTAGCCAAGCCTGAGCCCAACCCATTTTAAGGCAACTTGGGCTGTGGAAATATGACAGCTGCAGCCCACGAAGCAGCCATTAGGGCAAGCTTATATTTTACACACACACACACACACACACACACACACACACACACACGTGAGGTAGAAGCACCAAGCAGCCGCTGATGTTTCTGCTTTCCGCCATATCTCACTGGCTCTTGGACAACACTGTGAAAAAGTCAGCAGAATCCCAAACCAATCAGGTCAATCTGGAGTTCTCAAACATCCATATTAAGATTAAAAGAGAAGCCAGCATGGCTTGATGCTCTGAGTTCTGAGCACATCCCAGTTTCCCACCTTCTGATGTAGCAGAATTTGCTGAACAAATTATTTGCATGCATTCCTTGGATAGCACTCCTGTAGGAGAAAATCCGGTATATTTGCCCTAACAAAAATGAAGATCTTTTCTTTTTTTTAAAAAAAAAAGTTGGTATCACAGACATGTTTGTCTTCTACGTGTTATGATTGAATGTGTGAATGCTTCTTTCTGTCCTTTTACCTGACATTTGCCCGCCTTTGCCTGCCTTGATATAATAGATGCATCCTGAAGCTGTACACCTTAGTCATTTTCTCCATTCTTCCCAGTTTATCAGCAATCTAAGCTGGCAGTTCAAACAGTGTTGCTAAATGGTGCCCCTGCAAAGCAATAGCCTGACCCAGAAATCATGAAGTGTTTGTGTGTAGAGAGTTTGAGGCAATGTCTTATGTCTGACAGCCACGTTGACTAATATTAATGCTGGGTTGATGGTGAGCTCTGCGTTTGACCTTGGCCCCCATTAGATTTCGTTGCTTGAGCACAGTTTAGGAACCATACATTAGTTTTCATTTAGGTAAATGTGGAGCTGGATTAGTGACAGAGACACTCCACATAGCATGAATGAATAAATGGATTGAATTAGGCTAATAAATGAAGAAGCCATTTCAATTCAGCAGGGACCCTGCAGCTCTAACAATGTGGATTCCCTCTTCCACTAGCCACAGAGTAGAGTTGCAGGTTATACATTACATGGACAGGGAGCAACTTGTGTCTCACATTGCATTGTATGGGCATTTGGTTTCAGGGTTATAAATAGGACTGGGATTAAAGCAGAATGCCTTCTCTGAACAATCATAGTATTAAGAATCATGGGGTGGAATTCAACGTTACAGTGTGATGAATGTTCCATCTGTTCAAACATATCAGCTTGCCATATGGAAGAATCCCCTTCTCCCTGCATGCTGTTCTGGAGCTCTCCCAACCCTCTGCCCCGCCCCCCAACCAAATGGGAGGGCATGTGGCAGGGAGAGGAGAATGTTCCATTGCACAAGTGGAAACCCTTGCACAGGGCTTTCCCTGACAGGGTTCAGTAGGTGAATCCCACCTATACTGTACAGGAAGCCCACAATTTATGCTCATTTAACATGTGCACATTCAGCTTTACCACTTGGGGGGGGATTAGAAAGACGTGGTGAAAAGCAGCTAGTGTCCAGGAAAAAAAGATTTTGGCAATCCCACCCACCATTGCACCCAATGTGTTTTGGCTTTAGGCATGATCCCAGGAACGTAACCCCCATGTAAGTTGAGGGCTTACTGTATTTCAGAACACTCTGCTTTGAAATAGCGGTCCATTTGTTGGTGAATCTTGCTAGCTAGTTAAATGGCTTTTGTGGCCAGAATTTAAAGAAGAGTGTCTTTGAGCTTCTCCTGCACAAAACCACAGTCTGCCACGCAGTGTGGCAAGTAGAGTTTTGCTATTTTAAACAGGTTTCAATCCATCAATCAATCAATCAATCAATCCTACTGAGTGCACACAAAACATCAGGCTTGCCTAAAGTGGTTCCTTGGATCCAATTAATAACCCTTACTTTAATTCTTAGCATTGTCACCACTCTCCAGATAGCTAGATGGACAGACAGACAGACAGACAGACAGTATTGCAAACTGTAATTCGAGTATAATATTCTAACCAAGGTAAGTATAGGGATGGGTGAAAGTGTTGAGACATTTATGAAGGCAACATGGTCAGTTTTCCATAGCAACTGCTTTGATGAGACTTGGAGGGGAGTATTATGAAGGAGGAAATGTCATTGTATTTGGGCAATGATATCAAGTAAAGGGGGAAAAGGCACATTTTAGCAAGACTATATAGGTGCTATTAGAGTCTTCTAAAATGAGAGGGAGAGGGGAAAATATCAACACTGCAAATCCATACAGGCTCCACAGTTACAGGTATATTTACTGGCAGCAAGTCCTATGTGTACTTCCAGGAAGGTACATTTAGGAACAAAGCTTCAGTTTTTTCACCGGGGAAAGGGAAAAAAATCTGCCAAACCAATATATAAATTTCTTACCTGCCATCAGTTAGAAATTGCCCTTATCAAAATCACCAAGGAAGGTACATTGCTGGGAATAATCCTTTCAGCTTGTCCTTTCAGCCACAACTTGACAACAAATTCTTTGAAGCTCTTGTTTTTTTGAAAGAACCTCAGATAACTTCATACCTTACCATGAACAAGTAGAGACATATTGTTATGAATCCTCTGGATATTAATGTGCAGTTTGAGGCGTTATTTCACACTCTCTGGGCGTACTCAGTATCTGCTAGCCCATCATTTGAGAACAGCTGGTACAGGCAGTCTTTACCTGATTGCTTCCAAGGATAAAGGAACATATTTTCAGTGAGCAACATTTGGATTTGCGTCTGAAGGGTGATGTTCTCTTTCACAAAGGAATTAGCATGCACGAACCTGATAGTACTGGGGTAGATACATTATTTATGGTATATTGGAATTGTCACCTAGAATTGTTCTTCAGGTCAAAAGCATTGTAGAACAAAACTCAAAATTCTGAGAAGAAGTTGTTCTGGAAATGTATTCCTTCTCCATCCATGTTATTTTTCTTCCTGCGCAATTGCTTCTTCTAAAAAGCATGGTTGTGTTTTCCGCTGGTGTTTTTTTTAAAGGATGTTGTTTCTGTAGAAAAGCTCTAATATTACAAAGATAACATATTCAGTCATCTATAATGAAGACATCCTGTCGATTTTACAGCACTGGACAGCACCCTTCTCAAGGTCTTTCTCTGGAAGAAATGAGGAGAAATTTCCAGTACCCGCCTATTGACCGAAATGGTAAGAGGTCCCTCAGATGTAACAAAGATAAGTTCTATTTATGGGCTAATCCATTTTCTTTGGGATGAAACTGGCACACACACAAAAATTGGAAGTACACTGAAGATAGCAAACCGTCAGCTTTGGTAATAAGATCTGTAAATGTTTCCACTACTGATTGTAGAAACGAGGCATATGATAAGTTCCCCCAAGACTCAGGAAAAACTTTAACCACACCTTAGACCATCCAGGGAGATTGTTGTGATTCCTGCCACCACTGGAGAGCCATTTTGCACTGAGAAAGTTTTAACTGTACCTCTAAACTGTGAAATGTGAACGCAATGAGCATGTCTACAAACATAGGTGTCATTTAGCCCACAGAGCATCAGGTTTTTCCTCTTAACTAAGGAGTGGAAACCTCCCACGATCTGTCATTTTATTTTTCCTATGATACCTGGGCATAGCAGAGCATTGTGGGGCAAGTAGAATAATGGCCAGAACAAAAGTGTGATTCTTTTTTTAAAATAATAATAATCCATTTATCATGAGTATTATTAAAATAATAATATATAGGACTACCAAATTTTTGTGATGCCCACCAGATTGTTTTCGTATAGCATCCTTGATTGATGCCAAAACAAAGTGGTGTCAGCAAGCCAGTTTGTGGGTGCTGGAGCTCAGTGGTTGGCAGGGGAAGGGGGGGTCAAGGACAGGCAGGGGTCAGTGAGGTGGACCCTGCTGGGTGTGGGGATATCAATCGCAGATACCAAACCTGGAGCATTTTAGGAAGTCCAGATTTTATCTGCATAATATTTGAAAGGGCCCTAATAGTATAAGAAACAGTAATGATATGACTTCCAGTAAGTGTCTTATATAGGGGACGTGGGTGGCGCTGTGGTCTAAGCCACTGAGCCTAGAGCTTGCCGATCAGAAGGTCGGCGGTTCAAATCCCTGCAACGGGGTGAGCTCCTGTTATTCGGTCCCAGCTCCTGCCAACCTAGCAGTTCGAAAGCACGTCAAAGTGCAAGTTGATAAACAGGTACCGCTCCGGCAGGAAGGTAAACAGCGCTGCTCTGGTTTCGCCAAAAGCGGCCTCGTCATGCTGGCCACATGACCCGGAAAAACTGTCTGCAGACAAACGTCGGCTCCCTCGGGCCAGTAAAGCGAGATGAGCGCCACAGCCCCAGAGTCGTTCCCGACTGGACTTAACTGTCAGGGGTCCTTTACCTTTTTTAAGTGTCTTATTGCAATGAAAGACTTCTATAATGCAAAACTCTGGAGCTTGCTGCAGATCTTTGCTCAGAGACGTGTTGCAAGCTTCACATTACTATGTCACATATTGATTTCCACACACTACTAATCATTGTAGGAATACATGATTCTCACTGAGAGGGCAAGAGCTTCTGGGTTGTGTGTGTGAGAGAGAGTTCCACATGCATCCATGAGCTTGGAATTTAGAGACAAGTTTGAGAGGTTTTTAAGGCTGGAGTTACATAAGCTGAGCATCGCTTAAAGACCCCTGGAAGTGTCCTTGTTTTGAGCCACAACTCATCAACGCTAGTTTTCTTTTCTTTTCTTTTCATTCTTTCTTTGAAAAGTTTTGTTGACATTTTTTCATGATACAATAAAAAGAACAAACTCATCTAGAAAGAATAACCTGGAAAGAAAGATTAAAAGGAAAGAGAAAACTACAAGATTCTCTCTCACTTCTATATCTTAACTTTTATCCCATACACAAACAGGTGAACCCTTCCAGCTGTCACCTGGGATCACCCCTCTCTTCCCACAGCACCTCACCCTGTGAGATCTCCCCTTCCCCACCTATCCCACAGGGTCCTCAACGCTAGTTTTCATTCCTTTGTGCTGTTGTGCTCTTTTGTTATACTCCAGTGCTGAATGTTGCAGCCTTTCAGGGCAGGTGCCAAATTATAGTACTATAGGGACTGTCTTGATGTTAGACTTGGGTCCCGCTTTCCTCCACAAACTTTTAAAAGTATACTTTTTCTCTCCTGACCTTTTGGCCTTTGTACATAATATCTCCATATAATATTACCCTGATGTTTAGAAAGACAGGCTGCAACCCTGTACACTCTTTCCAGGGGGTGGGGTGGATAGTCCCGTTAAACTCAAATGGGTTTACTTCTAAGCAGGCATGCATAGGATTGCACTGTTAATGACTAGGCAAGGATGACAAATATTATAGCAGAAGAATAATAGTAGCAATCACATTTGACCAGTGGCCCAGATGGTAAAGGAATAATAATAGTCCTTAATAGACAACCTGGTACTTACAATAGCAGCTATTGTCATGATAATTGCCCAGGATTAAGGGCATAATTATTTCTGGCAGGCTGCTTATTGTTGACTGTTGGATCTCCCATTCAAGGTCAAAATAGGTATATTTAAAAATCAAATAGAAATGTGACAGTGTATTTAAATACCTTGGTTCCCATTTTGTGTCGGCCACCAGTTTAAATGGCTATTGTGACTACACTGCATTTGAATGGCCTGCGTATCTGTATTTCATATTTCGCCTCCTAGCATTTTCCCTCAGAGAATGGCATTAAACTTGGGCATTTCAGGTAGCAAAGAGATTTGCCCGAAACACATTTTCCCGGGAGCAAATCTGTGCATTGCTTATTTAGTTAGCGAAAACATCCTTTTATACCTTGATAAATACAGAGGCCTTTAGGAAGCGGAGAGGGGAGGGAGAAGGGTTTGCTGGGCTAAATGGCGTTTGTGACTCACTCACCTGAGCTACTCTTCACCTTCCACAGGTTACGTGTCGGATCCCATGAGTACGATGCGATTTCATTCCTGCAGCAACAGCGGCAGCTTTGAAGACAGCGCCTGACAGCAGGAACCATCTACTTGCTGAGAGTTTCTCCACGAAGCAGCAGCAACAATTCTTCCTGGCGTCAACACAGCTCCCAGTCATCATATGTTACATCAAAGAGCCCCACGTTGGCTTGCTTATTTACTGATAGCTAATGCTTCCATCATAAATTGTTCTTCAACCATTCTCTTTCTGTACCAGCAATTTATAGGTGGGGGGGGGAATAAATCTGTCAAAGTTTGGGGTTGTACCAAGCTTGCCCTTGGGATATACTGCATGCATGCCAGGGAACATAATCAGAGACTGGAATATTTTTTATTCATTACCCATGAGTTGGGAAAGAAAGGTAATTGTTACACTGTGGGAGGTCCCAATTTGGGGGCTTCCCATGGTGTGACAATTACCCTGCCTTTCCCACCTCAAGCTTAATGGAGAAAATAGATTGCTCAGCATCATTCTCCGATAAAGAAAACAATGCCCGACCTGAAGAATTTGGAGCAAATGATTCAGCAGAGGAAACACAGCCCAGAATAACTAAGGAGATAGTACAAGAATACTTGGCTAGTCTAGATGTATTCAAGTCTCCAGGGCCAGATGAACTGCATCCAAGAGTATTAAAAGAACTGGCAGATGTGATTTCAGAACCACTGGCAGTCATCTTTGAGAATTCCTGGAGAACAGGCGAAGTCCCGGCAGACTGGAGGAGGGCAAATGTTGTCCCTATTTTCAAAAAGGGGAAAAGAGAGGACCCAAATAATTACCGCCCAGTCAGTCTGACATCAATACCAGGGAAGATTCTGGAGCAGATCATTAAGCAAACAGTCTGTGAGCACCTAGAAAGGAATGCTGTGATCACCAATAGTCAGCATGGATTTCTGAAAAATAAGTCATGTCAGACTAACCTGATCTCGTTTTTTGACAGAATTACAAGCCTGGTAGATGAAGGGAACGCAGTGGATGTAGTCTACCTTGATTTCAGCAAGGCATTTGACAAGGTGCCCCATGATATTCTTGTAAAGAAGCTGGTAAAATGCGGTCTTGACTATGCTACCACTCAGTGGATTTGTAACTGGCTGACTGACCGAACCCAAAGGGTGCTCATCAATGGTTCCTCTTCATCCTGGAGAAGAGTGACTAGTGGGGTGCCACAGGGTTCTGTCTTGGGCCCGGTCTTATTCAACATCTTTATCAACGACTTGGATGATGGACTCAAGGGCATCCTGATCAAATTTGCAGATGACACCAAACTGGGAGGGGTGGCTAACACCCCAGAGGACAGGATCACACTTCAAAACGACCTTGACAGATTAGAGAACTGGGCCAAAACAAACAAGATGAATTTTAACAGGGAGAAATGTAAAGTATTGCACTTGGGCAAAAAAAATGAGAGGCACAAATACAAGATGGGTGACACCTGGCTTGAGAGCAGTACATGTGAAAAGGATCTAGGAGTCTTGGTTGACCACAAACTTGACATGAGCCAACAGTGTGACGCGGCAGCTAAAAAAGCCAATGCAATTCTGGGCCTCATCAATAGGAGTATAGCATCTAGATCAAGGGAAGTAATAGTGCCACTGTATTCTGCTCTGGTCAGACCTCACCTGGAGTACTGTGTCCAGTTCTGGGCACCACAGTTCAAGAAGGACACTGACAAACTGGAACGTGTCCAGAGGAGGGCAACCAAAATGGTCAAAGGCCTGGAAACGATGCCTTATGAGGAACGGCTAAGGGAGCTGGGCATGTTTAGCCTGGAGAAGAGGAGGTTAAGGGGTGATATGATAGCCATGTTCAAATATATAAAAGGATGTCACATAGAGGAGGGAGAAAGGCTGTTTTCTGCTGCTCCAGAGAAGCGGACACGGAGCAATGGATCCAAACTACAAGAAAGAAGATTCCACCTAAACATTAGGAAGAACTTCCTGACAGTAAGAGCTGTTCGACAGTGGAATTTGCTGCCAAGGAGTGTGGTGGAGTCTCCTTCTTTGGAGGTCTTTAAGCAGAGGCTTGACAACCATATGTCAGGAGTGCTCTGATGGTGTTTCCTGCTTGGCAGGGGGTTGGACTCGATGGCCCTTGTGGTCTCTTCCAACTCTATGATTCTATGATTCTATGATTCTATGTCCCATGGGATGACCTCCTATCCTTCTCTTTCAGCTACAAGTCCCTGGGTCTCCTCTTTGTTGAAGCCTAGGCTAGTGGTTCCAGCATGCTGTATGGTCCTACTCTATCTAATGCTGTCTATATCTTCCAGGGCTTCTTGCCTGATGCATCTCAAAGCACCCAACTAATTCAATGAGAAGTTCAGGTACAGATATGTTGTGGATGTCTTGGAGTCATACTGGAATGCAGTGTAGTTTAAAGTTGTATTATTCAGTTTAATCAGCTGATTGGTGCCAAGAGGCCGGGCTTGTCTTCCTGTGGCCGTTCTGTTTAAAGTTGCCAGTTTAACACATTATGTTAATCCTCTCTTGAATGTTCATTTGAGTTTTGCATAGCTCAACAATAAAACAATTGTGTAAATGAGGACAGAGTTCTTTATTCCCTTGCCCACCTCAGGGGACTAGAGAGAGCCAAAGTTGCGATTGTATAGATTTAATCAGACAGATGATTAATTCTCTTTGGATTGAGCCACACATTGAGCCTCTTCATAAAGTTCAAAATATATAGAGCCTACCTTGCGTGTGCAGCCTTCAGAAGAAGTGAGGAGGCAGTCAGACCAAAGCAGGTAAAGAGCTTCCCATCTTTTAGTGTAATTTTATTTACTTCCTGTTTCCAAGCTCCCACAAGCTGCTTCCTCTGACACTATGCTGCTCATGTGAGTAGGCCACTCAGGTAAATGTGCAAAAAAGCTGCAAAGAAGGTAGCATACAAATGGGATCTACAGTGATACCTCAGGTTACATATGCTTCAGGTTACATATGCTTCAGGTTACAGACTCCGCTAACCCAGAAATAGGACCTCGGGTTAAGAACTTTGCTTCAGGATGAGAACAGAAACCGTGCAGCGGTGGTGCGGCAGCAGCAGGAGGCCCCATTAGCTAAAGTGGTGCTTCAGGTTAAGAACAGTTTCAGGTTAAGTACGGACCTCCGGAACGAATTAAGTAAGTAACCAGAGGTACCACAGTATTCATTTTTAGGAAGCAATAGAAGACCCTTTTTATTATTTAGTTAGACACTTTGCTGCATCCCAGTGGTGGGCATCACTAGACACTTGCTGTCAGTGTCTGTGCCCTGGCAAGGAGCCCATTGTTGAACAGAGCACTAAAGCCTAACTGCTGGTATTAGGGTTGTAACCTGCAGAATGACGAGGTGGTTTTAGGGTAGCATGACCAGGGCAGTCACACTGGGTGCCCTGCTGCAGGGGATGCCAAAACAAGGCTGTAGAACAGAGCATGAGGGGGGCCAGGGGTGCTGAATTGTAGCGGCACATAGGGTGCTGCTGAAGATTACGAGCCCAAAGTCTGGCACCTACTAGATGGACTAATGTACTGACTCAGAATAAGGCATCCTCTTGTGTTCCACAGCCATCAGGCTGTGCAGGAGCATTTGGTGCTGTGTGTGTGTGTGTGTCAGTCACAGCAGGCAAGAGAAGCAAGCAGGAAGTCTCAATGGTATATTGCTCCCATTGGCCCTAGATAAGGGATTTGGGCTCGGAAGCTCTGTTTTGTAGCAGGAAGGAGATTGCAGTGCTCCTCTTTCTTTCTCTCTCTCTCTCTCTCTCTCTTTCTTTTCTTTCTTTCTTTTCTTTCTTTCTTTCTTTCTGATAACTCAGTATTTTTCTCAGCAATTCACAGGCACCATCAAACCCACATAGAAGAATGCTGCTCTGTAGCTCATTTGTGTTCATGATACAAATGCTTTTGCAAGACAGAGGGACAAGGAACGAAAGAGGGCGGCTAGCTATGCATGTCACTATCACTGTTGTGTCCTGCATAAATCTTTGAAATGCTGGAAGAGAACCACAGCTCTTCATCTCACATGAATGCTGCTCCACAGTGTCACCTAGTGCCCTTAAAACAAAAATGCCGCATGAAATGTAGCCTGAGGAATCCTTCCTCTCAACCATGTTTTTGTGTTTCTGGGGGACATGTTTCGACACAAACACCTTGTGCATGCATAGAGAAAGGCAGTGTTACTGGTGTCTGTCATGTCCGCCCCAAAAACCCAAATCCTGGGCTGAAATAAACTAAATGGAGAGACCATTTGACTCACACAAGGTTAATACATTATTAGGGAGTGGTTGCTGGCATCCGTCTCAAGAGACAAAGCAGTGCACCTTTGTGGATGAAGTCCACTCTCAAAGTCCTTTCCTTTGGGCTCCTCTGCCACAGCCACTCCTGTTATGCAATCTGACTTCTGTTTTATTCCCCTACCCAACCCTGACTTCATGCAAATCTGGGCTTGCAATGTGGCACTGCAGATCCTCCAAAGGGGGCTAGGTGATGACAACATTACATTTTTTCATACATAGGGAGATACTTAATGCATAATACAGCTACATCCTTTTGAAGTGTGAATTATTCAACGAAGGGGTAGAGGGAGGGGAAGCATTTTTTAAATATTAAGTGGTTCTTGAAAAGTTTGCCAGCCTTTCCCCTTCTCATATCCTCTCTTTCTGCAGGTTTCTCTTTGCCTGGCTGAGCATCACTGAGCACAAGAGGCACAATTAAGACACAGCCCACACATGTGATACAAAAAGCCGAATGTGAACTTTGATCTGTTCTTTCTACAGTAATGAGCAATTTCTGCTCGCTCTCTCTCTCTCTCTCTCTCTCTCTCTCTCTCTCTCTGTGTGTGTGTGTGTGTGTAGGGAGTCGGGGAATGAAGCCAAGAGCGTGTGTGCATTTGAAAGCAATGATTGTGGGAAGTACACCTGAGATGCCAAGATGACTGCGAGGGATGATACATCAGTGGGAAATGGAGAGAATGGGTGGGGGTGGCCATAGAAATTCTCCGGAGAGCTGGAGAGAAACCTCCTCTGAAATTTCACAGCAGAAAGAACAGGAGCGTTTGCTGAAGCAGGAGGCCTTGCACATTCGTTTCAGACAGATTCATCTGGGTAAAACAATGAGCAGAGGTTTGTGGCCATAGGAAGCTGCTTCATACTGAGTCAGGCCACTGGTCCATCTAGTCTGGTATTGTCTACACTGACCGGCAGCAGATCTCCAGCACTTCCTATGGGGGGTGTGGTTCTTTCCCAGCCCTACCAGGAGATTCCAGGGGTTGAACCTGGAACCTTCTCCAAAGTAGAAGAATGCACAGATAATAGATGGACCTTTTCCATGCGTGACTGTACAGTGGTACCTCGGGTTACATACGCTTCAGGTTACATACGCTTCAGGTTACAGACTCCGCTAACCCAGAAATAGTACCTCGGGTTAAGAACTTTGCTTCAGTATGAGAACAGAAGTCATGTGGCGCTGGCGCAGCGGCAGCGGGAGGCCCCATTAGCTAAAGTGGTGCTTCAGGTTAAGAACAGTTTCAGGTTAAGTACGGACCTCCGGAACGAATTAAGTACTTAACCCG